GCCGCGCACGGCGCAGGCTGCGCCCGCGCGCGCTTCCTGGGGCCGCCGCCGCCGCCGCCGCCGCCGCCGCCGCGGCCGCGGCCGCTGCCAGCCGCGGCCTCGTCGGTGGGCTTACGGAGCCCCAGCTGCACCATGTACTCCTCCAGGGGCCTAGGGCCTGCGCCCCAGGAGCAGCGGGTGGGGTGGCAAGAGGGGTTGCAAGCGCAGGCCTGCCCGGGCTGGAGGAGGCAGGGTGAGCGATCGGGACGGGCTGAGCAGTGGGGCATCAGTGCGCGGGTACAGAGGGGGGTGGGGTGGGTGGGCAGATGGCACTGCAGTCGGGCCGCCTGCCACGGACGAGCGGTGCATGGCGGCTCTGCCCAGGGCGCCCCTCGTGCCCCACCTTGCGGGCTCGGGTTCTGGCGCCTGAGGATAAAGTGCCACCAATTCTGCAACGACCGAGGGAGAGCTGATCCAGTGAGGGGGGGGGGGGGCAGACAGGACATGCAGCATGGAGGGTCGGCAGACATGGGGAGCAACCCCATAGCCGTCCATGCGTCACGTGTTGAAGCGTTGAGCGGGTCGTCGTCGCAGGGTGTCGTGGCGCTCTGGCGCCGGCCGCTGCGCACACCTTGACGGCATGCTCTGAGCGGCCCGGCAGGCAGCTCGCAATGCGGACCCATCGGTTGCCGAATTGCTTGTGGCCTTCCACCTGGGGGAGCCATGCGTGGGTGGCACAGGTGGGCACGGCACGTGCCGTAAGCGAAGGGCAGTGCGTCGCTGGAAATGAGGATTGTGAAGCACAGAGATTCCGCATGCACAGACAGACGCAATGCAACTTTTGGGGGCACGGGTTTGCAGGGGCTAGCAGTCTGGGGTGCTGCAGGGCTGGGAGGGGCTGGCAGCTGCCCACCAGCACCAGCTCCTCCTCCTTGGTCCAAGGGTCTCTCTTTATGTTGGGGTCCAGGTGGTTGGTCCAGCGCTGGGGGTGCGACGGGAGGAGCGGGCACAGGCCGCGGTGCAGGTGAAACAGGGGGTTCGTCAGCCTCCAGGCGGATCACAGGCAAGTTGCAAGTCATGGGTGTTTGAGAAGGGGCAGGCGGCTGGCGAGAGCTGGCGGCATCAAGCTGCTCTCGCTACTCAAGGGCGATTCCGGCGCAAGGAGGGAGCCGCGCAGCAGCATCCATGCGCCCAACCGCCCGCCGGCTGCGCCGCCCCTGGGCGCACCTCGCGGCACTGCTTGGCGGTGCGCCCATTCTCTGAGAACCCCCGGCGGTCAAAGGACTCGTTCAATGCGCGTGCAATCAGTGACCACTTGCCCTCCCCGCGCTCTCGTACAAGCCTGGCGGGTTGTATGGTGTGAGCAGGGGCTCATCAGGGGCGGCCGGGGGGAAACGGGTGATTCTGCTGCCGGGGTTGTGCTGGGTGGGTTGGCGCACAAAGAAGCCGCGCGTCACAGCGTGCGTGGATGACAAAGTGCGCTGGGGCAGGCAAGTGGGTGGTGAGGGTGGCGCGGCGCGTGGTGCGGGGGTGTTGGTGGGCCCAACAGTGCAAGGCAGCGCGCAGCGAGGTCAGAACTGGCAAGGCAGCCCTGGCTGCCGGCGGTTGCCAGCTGCCGAGGTGACACGCCTGATGAGTTCGGCCTCCTCCTCCGACGTCCATCCGCCCTTGCTTCGGGCAACAGGGTGGCTGCGCTTGCGCTGGCGCGCTGCGCCGGAACTCATGCTGTGTGTCGCGCTGGTGCTGGGTGCGCCCCGCTGTAAGGAGGCCTTGGCGATTTGGGACGATCCGATGCAGGCAGGTGAGCGCAGCGATGCGCCAAACGCAGCTGCAAGGATGCAAAAGCAATCTTGTCGAAGCTGTCAGATCGTGTGTTAGACCCGGAGCACGCTGCGTCTGATTGCTGCCTCTTCAGCGCAATGCAAACCTAGCACCGTCACTTGTGGGAACTTTTGCTCACAGGGTGTGGCTTACCGGCAGTTCAAGAGCTCGCTGATAACGACGAGTGACTGTGTGGCACTGTGAAACGCAGTGGTGGCGGAAGCAGCATGATTTCTCCTGACCACTGTTTTTGAAGCATAATTCTTAGGCGTAACGGGTACGGGCAGGGATACCCCACTCGCTTTGTGCACTCCGCTGCTTGGCGCACACTTGCTCTTTTGATCCCCGGTGAGACGGTGACGGCCGACTACGACTCCAAGGTAATGAGGTATACTTTTATATATTAGGCGCATATCAATCATGGAGTATAATCACATCCGCTACGGCGCAGAATGCCCAGATCATGAGTCAAGCCACAGCTGCATGTTGGACTGGCTGGCCACTTCCCAGCAGCAACCAAAACGCTGAGCATTGGGAACCTGCGGTTGTATGGCCGCATCCGTTCACAACCTGACCGTTACAAGCGGTGGAAAGTCATACCGTTTGCACTCCAAACAGCACGTGCACCAACCTTGCCTGTGCAAGTGACAGACAAATGGCAGAGCAGGCGGGTATGCGAGCATGCGAGATCCAGATCTCGATACGACATCAGAGACAGCACACCAATGTGCAGCGCAACGCACCGGCGCCAAGCACCTGCACAGGACAATGAAGCCCAGGCCGCGCTCGCGCGCCTGCGGCCACCTTTCAGCCCTGGCCCGGGGGACTGAGCTGTGCCAGCACCGCCACGCGCGCAGGGGCACCGGGTGAGCAGTGACATCGCGGCCAGCTTGCACCTTTCCTGGCTGGGGGCGTGCCGTGCACAAAAAGCAGCCTCGCTCCCAGTGGACTCGGTGGGGCAGAGCTTGCGATAGCCAGTATCTCGAGTCACATGCAGCCGACAACACTGCGCCGTGTGCACTCGAGATATGTGAAATAATGGTACAATGACTGCGCGGCGTGAGCAGACTGCACCTGCTGGTAATGAACACCTGCGCGCAGCTCCTGGCCCGACGAGGCGCCGTCCATCGGCTCTTTTGGAGCGCGATGTCGGCCGCACGGCGGCAGCATTCGCATGGCCAGCGCTGACCGCCCGGAACCGGCATGATTGTTGATGCGGCACAAACAAAGGGGGCCTGCTGTATTGGTAGAAGATTCGGCTAGCACGCCTGGGCCGGTCCCCTGAGCATTGCATTGCGGGCAACGGCCGCGGAGGCCGCGGGCGTCGGTGCTCTTGGGCGGGGCGCGGCCTCGGCGGCCGCGCTGCCAGTGATAATCTAAAAGGACGTCCCTGTTGCGGGGCGCGGGCCTGTCCATGCGCGGCCGCCCGCAGGGGCGGCCAAGGCAGGGGGGGCGGCAAAAAGCTTTTCGCCCAAGTTCGTGGGTTAGACCAGCAGGAGCAGGTGGTATGAGCGCAGCAGACATTTAGTTTGAAAAAAGGGCAGCAAGGCAAGGGGGATCCTTCAGGAAACAGAGGGGGGAGCGTTTGAGGGACGGACGGAAGGTGTCGAGCAACAACAGGCGTTAAGCATTCCGCAGGAGGCTGAAGCTGCGACGCACACATGCGTGCTGCTCGCTGGCCACCGCAAGGCCCCTTGCTGCGGCGCCGCAAGAGAGAGACAGAGAGACAGAGACGGACGGAGAGAAAGAGAGGCAAGGGACGGCAGCCAAGGCAGAGGGGGTGCAGTCGGGCGCACTTCAGCGCAACAGGCGCTCGAGCCGCAAAGCGAGCGTGCCTCCCCTCCATGCAGTGTGGTGCACAAGGTCAAATTATTGGAGGGGAGACTGACCGAAACTTCAACCCAACCGAGCCCGGCTCGAGGTGGGGCGCCACGCCGCGAGGGCGGGGGGTGGGGCGGCGCCAGTCAAAGCCAGGCGCAGGCCGTGACCGCGACAGCCGCGGCTCGTTGCGGCGGCCGAGGCGGCCTGGCGAGAGATGCGTCAGCGCGTGCGCCGCTCCACAGCATGTGCGCGGGGCCGCCCCGGCGGCGTGTACCCCTTGACCGACTATCCCTGAAGCCCTCGGCACTGGAAGCTTTATCGAACGCCGCCATGCGCTTGGTTCATGGCGCGGGTGCGCAGCAGTCAATGGCAGGCGGCAACCAAACCCATGCACACCACATAGTAGGACGAGCGGCCAGCAGGCAAGTATAGTCTCTTCCCGCCCCGCCCCAAGGCTGCGGCGGACATTTGCTGCCCGCCTCCGACGCCTTGGCCAAGGGGGGGTGGGGTGGGACGCAGCCGTGCCGCTTGGACTGCGCATTCCCATGCAGGCGTCCCACGTGGGAGCCTTCTGAGCCAACTTTTTCTGAATATTATTATGTATGCCGCGGAGGAGGTGCGCGCGGGATGCAGGGCCAATTCTGAAGCACCGAGCAATCGAGCCGAGACATGGCTGCAGCGGGGCGCGCCGCCCTGTACCCGTGCGCGCGCGGCGGCGGCACCAAGGGTGGAATATACATGCACAACCGCGCGGCGCGCGACGCCGCGCCCCTAAGTCGCAGCGTCTTCGCGGCGCTGCGCGGCGGTCACAAGGATGCGGTCACGAGGTTGGTGCCGCGGCTAGGATTGTGATAGCCCTGAAACATGGATGCCAAAGCGACTCACGGCCCGAGCGGCCTGCTTTGCGTGTTCCCGCGCACTCTCAATGCGCTCAGGGTGTGTGTGTAGGCGCCAAAGAAGTGCGATGAGGAGCCTCACCGCCCGACGCTGCCCGCTTGGGGCCGCATGTACAGCCATGATCGGATCGCGTCCACCACGCATTTCAGCACCGCGGCGCCCGCGTCGCTGCTGCGCGCGGCAACCGCCACCACAAGCCCCGGCTCCCAGTACAGCACGCCGGCCCCCAGCCGCAGGCCGATCACCACCCGGCCGACCGGCAGCCCGGCGGGCGCGCACGCGTTGGCGGCGAGGCGCGGCAGAACGGCCTGCAGGTCTGCCGCCAGCGCCCGCACAGCGGCGTCCGGACCCAGCGACTGCATCGGATGCGGCCGTGCCACGGGCAGCATCGCCGCCGCCGTCGCAGCGTGGCTGCCGCTGACGGCCTGCGGACCGTAGCTGATGGAGGACGACACCTCGCGGTAGGGGCTGGGCGCGCCGTCAGCCGTGGGCGCCAGCAGCGCGGAGCCGATCTCGTCCAAGAGCGGCAGCGGGGCGGCGCCCTCAGACAGCGCCACGATGACCTCTTGGTCCGCCGGCCAGACCTCCAGGGGCTGCGCCCCCCACGGCGCACAGCCGGGCAGCTCCGCGCTGGCTCCAGTGTCGGGGGCGGCGGCCATCGGCGGCGGGCTGTTGTAGCTGGCAAAGAACGGCATTGGCGCTCGCGGCGGCGCGTGTGCGTGACCGGCTGGGCTGCTGATCAGGCCCTGGCCGTGCGCCAGCCCCGGCGGCGGCGGCGCGGCCGCTTCGTCGGGGGCGCCGCAGCGGCCGGGAGGGACCCTCAGCCGCAGGAGGCCGGCTGGGGAGGCGGCGGCGGCAGGGGCGCGCTCGGGGGCGCGCTGCGACGCCGCGCCCCAGCCTGCTGCGGCGTCTGCCTGCCTGCCTGGCCGCGCGGCGCACGCTGCAGCCACGGGTGGGTCGGCCGGGCGCGGCGCCGGCTGGGCGCCCGCGGGGGCCAGCAGCGAGGCGGCCGGCATCAGCTCGCAGTCATGGGCGGCCGGGACCCGACCCCGGATAGACAGCAGCAGCTCGGCCTGCCATGATCAATGGAAGGGCGGCGGTGGGGCCGCTGGTGTTGTTAGTAGGGCTCGGAGACAGGAGGCGGCGGGCAAAAGGCGCACCATTCGCGAGCTGCGGCCCCAGCGACTGAGGCGCTGCATCAACCCTTGAGCCGCAATTGCGTGCGTCGAGCGAACGAGCGACGGCATGCCTCGAGCAGGCAATCAAGGGAGCATGGGGGCCAGCGCTCACGTATTCGTCAGGAAGCCCCGGACTGTATCCCAGTGGCTCGACGTTCGCCCATGACATGGACGCCGGTGTCCTTGCCTGCGGCATGGCCCCATAGGCTGCTGCGGAGCCCGCGCCCTCGAAAACCAGGGCGCTGGCCAGCTCCCAGTAGGGCGTGGCCTGCTCCACGCAGACCGCCGCCGCCGCTGCCGCCACGGGCGTCACCACGGGCTGCGGCACTCCACCAGAGCCTGGGAGCCAAAGGGGGTCCTGCCCCTGATACTCAAGCTCAACCACGCCGCCGCCGGCGCCGGCGCCGGCGCCGCCGCCGCTGTCGCC